TCTGAAAAAAATGAGCGTCCTCAAGCAAACATGGCATGACGCTGCTCGCTTTCTTTAAGCTCATTTTGACCCACCCTATTCAACAATAATGAGACCCCCACTCTGCTCAACATTAATGAGATCCCTTATTTCCTTCCGGGCAAGGGCCTCTTGAATAAAACACCAGGGATACATTACCGTTTGTGGTAAATGGCTGAAAGGCCATTCCGTCCCACCATGAGTATCTTCTGGCCATCATTCTGGTGGCACAGGGCGGGATTTCCTGGTCGATTCGGAGGCCATTAGAAGGATACATCATATCACACTGTTTACATCCCTGACACGGGAGGCCTTCTGACCCGCGCAGTTAGCCCCGGATCAGCACAGGAACCCTGAATGATGCAACAACATCCCTGATCACGGCAGGTAGTCCAATAATTGTCACATAGGCTCCAGTTCCGTGTTTTTCTGTGTTCTTCAGAGATATTGAGTTCTCCCTGACCGCACCTTGCAAATGCAATGGGGGTTCCTAATTTGTATTCACATGGCTAACCCATGTTCGTCTTAAAATGCTCCAGATCCTGTCAGAATTGATTACTGATAAGAAAACTACGTGATTTGGTCTTGAACATGCTCGCTCGCAAGCCATAGCAACAACAGCCTCAATGTCCGGCGTTGCAGCCTCCAGGCCGTGCGGCGCCGGCCTTGCGGCTTGAACACTTAGCGATGGTCAATGAGCAAACGAAAAAGATGGCACATCTTGAGGGAGATTTACTGGTAAATTAGGTAAATCGGCATGCATGTGTAAAGTAGGGCAAAACTAAGCCATATGCAACCCTGATATGAAAAGTGGGCGGGCCAGTTAAAATTGCTGGCCCCCCACTTTGAAAAGTGGGGGTCATGGCCCCCTGCCCCCCCCCCCCCCCTGTTCCTATGCCCATGATCGAGAGCAATGACAGCGATGGCCCGGGCTGGAGCTTCCGTAAAACCGAACGGCGTCGACCACTGCACGTGCCAACAGACGGCGGGCGCCGTTTTAATCTGTCTTCTGGACGGATAAACAGTTACGGAAAGACGAAAAATAGAGAATCTTCCTCTACTCTTTCAGTTCCACCACCAGATTCCAGCACCACTTCGCGGTGCTTAAAGGGTCGATCCGTTCTTATCATCGGTCTAAAAATCGCACACGTGAAAGAAGCGCCCAGACTGCCCTCTAAATGTAAGATTTTGTGTTCTGCAGTGTTCAAACGTACTTTTTTCAGAAGCGTCGTCATTCTCGTCCACCCGTTGGCCACAGCTCAGAATGAGCCGCTGAATCGACGCTGTGCGGCCTACGGAGACTGCGACGCCTGTTGTTGAGGTTTCTGTTACTAAAATTTCCGAGTGCGCATGCTTAAAACTCCGCCGCATCATATATATCACTCATCGAATTTAAGTGTTAAAAGGTAGTTGTTCTAGAAGCGTTGTCATTTTCGTCCAGCGGTGGGCTACGGCTAAAAGTTAGTCATTGTACTAACGCTCCGCGGACTGTGGAGACTACAACGCCTGGTGTCGAGGTTTTCGTTGCTAAGATTTGCGAGCGCGCATGTTAAAAGGCACGTTACATAAGCTGTATGACTATCCGATTTTGCCTAAATGCTGAACATTTCCAGACAAACGTGGCTTGGCCATGTTAATACACACTGTTGAACACTCGATCCGCAATCAGATTGTCATCTTCAAATTTCGATCAAACATATCGATCAACAATCTGCCTTCGCAATGACCTTAATGCCTGTGGAACCCAGATACAAATTCTAACAAAGCTTCTGTATTCTATCGGTTCAGGAAGAGTTCACTAAGACATTACAAATTAAGGGCGCCGGTGATTTATTTCATACAGTCGGCCAGCGCCTCCTTTCTGCAGTTTGTTGACTTGAAAATACTAACAGAATTGATCTCACGATAACTTCTGGTTTCTGTTCTGGTTACAAGGCAAAAATGTCAATAGAACGAAGAAAACCATGTCCTTTGTTAACAAGTAAGCCCCAGGAAATTTTTAGGGGGGGGGGGGGTTGGGCACCTTAAGAGCGGCTTTTGCCAACCCTGTGTTCTCGCTTGGCAAAGCTCTGGCTACGCCCTTGCCCACATGCAAAAGAAAATCAAGTCGTCTACGTTGAATGTTGGCCAATTGAATGTCCGTTGGATTAATTCATGACTTGGGCAGGCAGCTCCCCGGAGGCATATATTTTTTTCGTACATACGTTTCTAGGCAACCCATGTAAACAACGTGAGCAATAGTGCTGACCCCTTGGTGATGACAGATTCTGGATGATTCGTCTAATTTCACCACATTTCCGGCGCCCAAGCCATGTATTGAAAACGTGTTTCCATAACCTTGCTTCGACTTCGGCATCACAGCATTACTGTGGGGCACAGGGGGTACCGGCGTTTTGTGTGGGTTTTCCTTTGGTTGTAGTTGTGCTGCTATTGACTTATCATCCCTGCATGGGGCGGGCCTTGCAGTGCGATATGCTCACAAGTAAGTTTTGGGTGTAATCGGCTGGATTGGGTCTGGTTTTAAGCATTTATTGTGCGCCATAACATCTGTGTTGGCCATGTGTATAACCGCACATAATCATAGGTGCATACACAGCAGTTTTCGTTATACAACATGGTACATGCTATTGTAATATATAGTAGTGCTCCCTTTTACATATTGCTGTTTTGATGGGAAATTTGCTATTTTAATCAATCTGATAGAGAATTAAGTAAAGAAGTGTGCAAAGATCAGTGGTAGGAAGTGATACACAGGATTAGCAACTGAGGCCATCATGACACAAAAGTTCTGCATTCAGTCAGAAAAAAATCATCTGCTTCACTGGATACCTACAAGACATCTGTGCTTGGATCCCCACGCTGGAATGTAAAGCTCTGGCCAGGTCAAATCACACTGAATTTTCAAATTATTGGAAAGTTAAGAGATTTTTTAGCATATGTCTACCTGAAACAAAGTTTGTGACATCATGATTCCTTGAAACATTGGCTCTCGTCCCATTGGCTCTCTTACCATGCTTTCCTTTAGTATCTGAGGACTGGGTGACAAAAGGGATTCAGAAATTGGAAATGGGATCAAAGATATGGCATCGTCCAAATCCTTCAGGGAGGGCTGCATTCCGCGGGATTTTCACCAGCATGACGTGCTATTTTGTAAGGATTCCATGTCTTTCTGGCAGAGTAAGATAGATGGAAGTGGGATAAAGAAAAGGGGGCGGGGCGCAAGCTCGTTAGCTCGGCTGCAACTTGTCCGCGGCCAGAGAAGTCGAGGCCCTCAACGTGATGCGATCTTAAGGCCCTGGTGCACCTGTCGATCTTATGACCATCGGACGGCTCTGTTGGCGTCCGAGCTACTTACAAAAAACAATGCATGGAAATAGAAGAAAGAAGCAAACGCAAAATATTTGGGAAGTTTCGCTGCACTTCCATCGCTCTCATTCAATATATGCTCGACACTGTAGGCTTTAGTGGCCTCAGCTTTCCTGCTCCAAAACCTTGTTTCTCGTTGTTCTTGAAAGCTAGTTGTTGAGCTGCAGCAAATATAAATGTATACACAAAATGACGTTATAAATCTGCTTCCCATCACCTCTGATATCCTCTGGTAAGACAAAACATTTTGCCAGAACATCAATGGCTGGACCATTTCGCTCAGCACTATTTCTAACACCGCTGACAGCGGTTGCTAGGATACGCATGTACGAAAAAATATATGCTCTCCGGAGGCTTTCCGGAGGCTTTTCTTCTGCTGTGGTGTAGTGCCAAGGAAGATAATTTGGAAAGGATGCTGTTGCAGCAGTCCAACACATGTTTTACACGCCAATTAGTGGTAATGCTGATCTAGAAATATGCAACAAAGCAGCGATACGATCAGTTAGCAGTCAGTCATGCGGTAGACAGCCGGGCCAGGGCGGTGGCCGCCGACGGCGTACGGAAACAGGGCCCAGATAAGAACATATGACAAAAGGGCCTTCATTCTGGGGCTTGGTTTTTTAAGATGAATCTTCAGTTGTATGACTTTTGTCCATTGTTTTGGGCAGTTACAAGCTTCCGAAATTGTTTTCGCATGAAATATTGCGACGAGTCTCATCTTTTGAAAACCAGCCAGCGAAATGAAGACGCGTGAAAAATCTTTAGCACTGCGAGCCGTCAATTCACTTTCAAAATTCTCACCAGCCTATGCCCTGGCCGCACTTTGGCATCTACCCTGTGCACGGGTATTTAAAACAGTCGCGAGAGATTGGCGGGATTGAGGTGGGGTGCACGGTGGTATGGTGTATGTCGACAGGGAACGGATACCATCGATGCGTCGTTAGGTAATTCGCGCGCTGCGGCGGCGCACAGTGAGGCCCGAAGCGAAAAAGAATGGACATGCCTCAGATATGGGTGCCAGCTGACTGTGCGACTGTACTTCAGCCTCCTCACGAGGTGGAAGGAAGTGGGGGAGGGGGGGGGGGGGGCACATGCTATGCCGCGGACGCCCTGCTTTGCCATGTAAGCTCGCGCGTACATATGGGCTGGAACTTTGGACCGTCACTGGATCAGTCCAATGCAACAGTATAATAGAAATATGCGATGTCACATCTGACTAAATGATATGAAATGACACATCTGACTAAAATGGAGCAACTGATTCTTTCAATCCAGTATTAAGCTCTTACTCGTCAGACGTCTTTACTGGCGGCTGGGAGTGTTTTGATAAAAGCTGCGTAATCAACGTTCAAGGTTTGTTAATGATATTTGCATGGAAATAGATTCCCAAGCTCTGTTTTTTTTAACCAATTGAAACTTGAGTTTTAATTCCGTTTAACACATTTTCTTTGCTCAAAAACAGTCATAGCAACTCGCGAAGCTTGACACCATCCCGACCGTAACCGGTATTTTAAAAGTGGCATCACTTTACGCCGCGGCGATCTTCCGTCTTTGTCGCGCCATTATAAGTACACAGGATTATTTGGCAGAATATCATGAGCTTCAGTGTGCGTTTGTCCTGCGCGGGGTGCTGTGGGCGGGTGGCGCAAGATATAGAGAGCCCTCTGCGTTTAGGATTTGGTGGCAGCGAACGTGCTGTACATCTTCAGTTTTTCGAGTATCGTCGGCTGCGAACTGCTTGAGCAAAGCTAAATCAAGGTAATGTATGTTTCATATAGTTGTGTGAATAGACTGTCCGATCCGGGAAAAATTCATCCACTGTGTCAGCCGCCGAGATGACGTCGGTGCTTTGAATCTGGGTTACGTGTGCTCCGAACTCAGACCTGGCTAAATTGTGCTGAATTCAAGTATTTTTGTCGCAAAATGTTCAGTAGGATGTAAAAGCATGGGATGCATTCACAGTAGGTTAAGGTCATCAAAATTAAAAGTGCATGTCATGCTCTCAATATTTTGAAACATGGATACACTTGTTCTCAAAAGGTGGCCATATGGCATTGAACTGTCTTATTTTCAGAGAAAGGAAGAGAAATATAGCTTTAAGTAATGAGTGCATCTGGGCATAAATGACCTTAGCAGTCAATGTTCCCCAGAAATCTGATCAACAATGATCAGGCTGCTATAAATGCCACATGCCCTAGTTTATCTCCTGTCAGTGATATTTCATAGCTTATTGACACCACCACCATTCAATCAATGACAATGAGGCCCAGCTTCCCTTTACTTGGTGGTAAGGATGATTTTGAGGGGCATCAACCACTACAGCCATTTTGCACCCTTAAAAGTGTTACATGCCTGTTATGTATTGGGTGCATACAAGTGATGCATGCATCACTTATATGCACCCATGCATGCGGTCATTTCTCAGTATTGATATCATGATCATTAACCCTGTGTTTGGATTGGTAAGCATTCAAATGTTTATACACATGATGGATTTTATTGGGACTAGTTTTATTTAGGACTAGGGCTCCACATATATGGAAAATGCTGGAGTGTGGCATGGTGCCCCATGCAAATAAGCTGTTTTGCTTGGATTATGTCTATGAATGCTTTGTGTCTCAGTGATGTTTGTCATGAAGTTGGGTTGTGTGCAGTTAAGTGTGCAATTTTATAATTGAAACTTGATTGAGTGTAACTTTAAAAACATATGGGTATAGTCTCAAGTTGTGTCATTAATTTGCATTTTTTACATGAAGGCTGAATCCTTAAAAGTTATTCTGAATATTATCATACTGAAAAAGGCCTTCCAAAAAAGTGCATCAGAAAGGATGCTTTAACATGGCCTTCCTGAATGATACCTCATAGAAAAAGGTCTTGAAGTTGAAGTTGGTCAGAACAGAGACCTGAAAAGATTGTGTAAGCCAACCCCATTCAGCATTACTTTTTGGTAGTGAATTGTGTGCTTGATCTTTTACATTCATTCTTTATCATGCAATGCTAGTCTCAACAGTTAAAATTCAGTCTTCCACACAAATGTTTTCAATAATAATTAATGGGAAGTCATTTGATGGGGGGGGGGGGTGCTAATTTTATGATAGCACATGCCAAAGCAAGCAATTATTTCTCCTGAAGAATAACATATTGAATGATATAGTATATACATTTATATTTTCATGTTTGAACTCTTTCTGGGTACTAGTGTAAGATAATTAAGATAATAAGATAATTGTGTAAGATGTAAGAAGTTAAGGGCCTGTCATGGACAGAGTGTGTTCATGGTATTTAAAGGCATCCATGTCAGGGAACAGCTCCATCATGTGATGAGCAAATAAGGCTGGATGGAACATTATTATAGTGGTAATGACAAAACTAGCATGTGGGTAATGGGAACACTGCTTGTTCCTGACTGAGATGTTTCTTTGTTGTTTTGTTTTGTCATGTCATGAGTTACCATCCTGAATCACCAGAAAACATCATGATGAGGTGCATTGTCATCAGTGTACAGTTAAGTATCTGGATAGAGATGGTGTACTGCCAATGTATATGAGGCAGAAGCAAGGCCTGCCTAATGGAACATTGTAAGGAAAGGTGAAATGTCAGAAGCAGTGCTGTTATTTAACTGGCCTGAGGTGAGGTGCTAATATGCATATATATATATATATATATATATATATATATATATATATATATATATATATATATATATGTATATATATATATGTATATATATATATATATATGTGTGTGTATATATATATATACGTATATATATATATATATATATATATATATATATATATATATATATATATACATATGTGTGTGTGTGTTTATTTATGTTTGGGTATGTGAATATTTATAAAGTGCATTTAAGTGCATCAGGGCAAAGAAGTACACTCAGTCATTTTGAAGATGACATGTCTTTTTATTTCCAGATGTCTGCATTATTTGGCACACCTGCAAGGGCAAGCAGCAAAAATTTAGTGGAGTTCAGAGCTGGGAAGATGACTATCTCAGATAAGAGGGTCACACCAGACACCAGGAAAGGGTCTGTGTATGTCTATCAGTCTGAGGATGGCCTGATGCACTTCTGCTGGAAGGACAGGAAATCTGGAGTGGTGGAGGATGTAAGTATGTCCTATCTGAGTGGAGCTGTGTGGTGATTGTGGTCACTGGCTGAGCTTGCCGTTATTGAATGTATTTGGCAGACATACTAGCAAGGTTGCTTTATGCTAGCTTTTGTAAAGCAAGCAGGAGGTGGGGTTTCCGACACGCCAGTTAAACTTCCACAGCTCCCAAGGTCATGACTTTCTCTCAAATCTTTGGTGTTGCATTGTGATGGCCTTTGGGTTAGATGCCATTTGGTAATACACAGCATACACACCACACACAGCTGGAGCTCTGTTTTTGTGCATCCTCAAAGGCAGTTCTTGACTATTGGCCTCCTGTCAGTGCTCGCATCTTAACACTAATGCATTTAGCAGACCTGTCTGCCGAATTGTTCTGCCTGGTGGATGGAGGACTGCTCCATTGGCACATAGGGATGATATGCCCCCTCAGGCTGGGTCCCCAGACAACAGAGAACTGCTCTGTGGGCACATAGTGATGCTTTGCCACCTGAGGTGGGTACCTGGTGGACAGAGGACCACTCCATTGGCACATAGTGATGCTATGCCCCAACAGGCTGGGTCACTGAGCCGCCGAAGGGGCGATTCAAAGGTTGGCCAAGTCCGCGAACTGACTTCCGCGGACGCTGGTTGGTATATGTTTCCCTTTGACACCCCCCTTGTTAGTCTTCAGGGAACAAACAGGCCCTGTTCATCTAGAGTGTGTCTGATAATATATACTTACATGTGTGCTGGGAGTGAAGTGGTCGTGCTGTCATTGCCTCCCCACCAGGAGCTCCAGCTCCGCAGAAAATGGTGAAGCCATTCTCTGTCTGAACCCGGCGACGAGAGTCAGGCGTCACAGAGGCTCGGTTTTGACTGAAGACTTCAAGTGGGGCAGGGGGTTCAGATAGGGCGGATTACAGTTGTGGGTGGGTTGCTGCCAGCTGGTCAGTGAGGAGCGGCTCGATCTACAAACAGCGTATGAAGACGGCCACGACAGGCCCCAGAAACTCATTAGAAACCGTTCGTCTCTCAGCTATGTGGTGTCGCATATCACTAATACAGCGTTTACTTTTACAAACCAATTCAGCCCAGTGGCTGCTATTGTGTGTGAAGTTGTTACAATGCATTTGATCGTGGTTGGTGTCACAACTGGCGTTTAAATCATGCCTCAATGTAAGTGTGGCTAGCTAGCTGATTTTTTTGGTGTTGAGCATTCTTGTGATTTATGTCGGTTACTAGGGACATTCTCAGAAACTTTTGAGCGTCCATTGTGCATGTTATCGTGGTGATCTATGGTCTTGGTTCTGCGGTACACTCTGCTGTTGCATGGTTGATTCCAATAACTGATGCTTGCAGGATCTCATTATTTTCCCGGATGATATTGAATACAAGAAGGTTCCCCAGTGCACGACGGGAAGAGTGTACATTTTGAAGTTCAAGTCGTCATCAAGAAAGTTCTTTTTCTGGATGCAGGTACATCTTTGTCTGACTGTCTGAATATCGAAACTCGTGAATTGGTCAGGCTGGACACAGTGCCAGAGCGTTCATATCAGCGTTTGCATTTGTAGCCGACGCACTCAGGCATTTAAAATGGCCCGTAGTGGCACGCCGTGATGGGAAGGTATAAAGGAAAGCTTATTTTCTAATGACACTGACCCAGAGGTACGTGGGTACAGGAGGTTGGGCAAGTGTTGAGGGTAGGCTGGGCAGGTGGGTTCATTGGGAAGTTGGCATCCACAGGGCCACGAGTGTCAAGTCCCGAACGACTGGGGTGATGATTAGTTAAGCCATCAAATGGGGGCCAATTACAAGACAGTATAACACAATTAGGCGTTGGTAAACACAATAAGGCGCTGGGGTTTGCACACGTTGTATGATTTTTCCTAGCAGACAGTAAGATATGAAGTTGAATTGGTCCATGGTGTTTTATGAAGCTTCAAACCAGTCAATGGGTGCCTCAAGTATGCTAGCTCTCCGTTGTCATTTGGACGCTGACAGGGATTCACTCCCCCTCTGTCTGTGTGCAGGAACCCAAAACGGACAAAGATGAAGAGTACTGCACCAAGGTCAACGAGAGTCTGAACAACCCGCCGACGCCGGGCAGCTCGCGGTCCAACGTGTCCACCCCAGCCGCCCTGCCTTCGGATCTGTCTAATCTCGGTGGGCCTAGAGAGCTTCGTTTCATGTGGACAAATATCTCCAGCTTCGGAGGTTTCAGTCTCGTTGGTGATGAGTCGTCATCAACGTGCAGTATGATAGGGCTCTTGTAAGGCTAGACAAGTTGAGGAGAAGTAGATGTTCTTACGTTAGGCGATCTGCCACATGAGTCAAGTTGGGATTTTATGCCCTTGGTAATTTACCGTGGTCTGGCGAATCGCACTTCTTAGTGAAAGCAAATCATTTTTCGAGCGCTTCAAGTAGGCGGCTTTAGGTTCAGAGTACATGCTACGAAAAAAAAAATGTTACGTCCTGAGTCCACCCGCGAGTGGTGCCACTCCACGGCCACCCTGAATGTTGTCTCCGGCTCGACTCCACCCGAGCGGGCGCCGGCCGTCCGGGTGCACGCCGGACCATGCGGGCCGCGCCGGCCGCCCGGGTGCACGCCGGACCATGCGGGCCGCGCCGGCCGTCCGGGTGCACGCCGGACCATGCGGGCCGCGCCGGCCGTCCGGGTGCGCCGGACCATGCGGGCCGCGCCGGCCGTCCGGGTGCGCGCTGGACCATGCGGGCCGCGCCGGCCGTCCGGGTGCACGCCGGACCATGCGGGCCGCGCCGGCCGTCCAGGACCGCGCGGGCCTGCTGCCGGACGCCCGCCGATTGTGCTGACAGTTTCAGGCGAGACGGACCTGCAGAATCTGCTGAGCGGCATGAGCCACCAGCAGCTGATCAGCCTGCTGAGCGGCGGCAGCGTGGGCGGCAGCCTGTCCGGCTTGCTCGGGTCAGTGAGGCAGCCACCCGGCCGGCCGCTATCTCTTGCACGATGACGGTCCGTCGCTCAGCATCTGACAACATCGTAGTAGATGGTTTTTCTGCTTTTCTTCTAAACGAGTTCTTTCTGTTTTTTGCTGATCACTCATTTGGCGGTTCGGTTTGCTAGTAGTACTGCTTGTTGACCAGGTCCTCATGTCCTGACAGGTGAGTTACAATACTGTATGTGGCAGCTGTGTGTGGTTCGAGACCATGTTAACGCAATCGGGTTACTGGATGCTAGTTAAAGGCTTGCGATCGCGACAGGCTGCATCGGACTATGCTAAGCTATCATTGCAGACAAGCTGGATAGTAGATGGATTAGTCTGACCTCCAGTTAAGCCAGCAAACCAGTTTTAGCAAAGCATTTTTACTAGGCGTTTGAAAGCTACTTTTCGGCAATTTCACACCTGATTTAACCTTGTCAGTCTGCTGTGTGACTCGTCCCATCTGCAGTCTAAATGATTCTTACTGCCTGCGGAATGTACACCTTTTGGAACAGAGCTGCACGTTTTGAAAGACGCGTCGCATCCCATCTTCGTAATCCGTTGTTCAAAGGCCACTGCAACCATCGAAGGGCATCTGCGAAACTCGTTCAAGAAATGCATGGGACTGGCTATCAAAGTCCTCACATCATAGTAGGAAGTGAACGTGGCTCACCCAAAACGTCAGATAAGCAGCCAATTTTCATCACATTTAGTCTAAAAAGCGGTCAAATGGTTGACCAGCACCATCCCGTTCTGACCATACCCCGTCACGATCAGCTCGCTGGCGGGAAGCGGATCGCAGAACTCCTGTTTGGAAGGCCGAACAGACCCTGCCGCGAAACGTCGTGAAGCGTCGGCGCTGTAACGAAAAAGATTATAATTTAGGCGCCCATACCTTATTTTGCTGTAAATTCGAAGGATCATAATGACTAAAATATGGCATTTCGGTCGGCATAAGTTCTTGACATGCCCGAAAGTCTGACAGCTTTGGTTGTACGGTGATTTGATCGGCAGGATGATGAACAAGTTAGACACTGAACGGTTTAGAACTCTGCAACTGTCGCTCGTTCGGGCAGATACTGTAACTTATCAGAACAAATTCGGTATTGGTTGTGTGCAGCTGATGCTGTTGGTCTGCAGGCCCACTTGCGACTTAGTACTTGACGTAAAAGATGACACCTCCCTTTAAAAGCGAACATTCCTAGTAAATTCTCGTTGAAGATTGTTGCTGTCATGCTAGTAGGCGTCTGCGCCACAGAGGACTCTTGCGTTGTTTCCTTTTTCTGTTCTATAGCTTGTGTTGTGTTGACCACAGTGACATTGTACCGTGTGTACAACCCGTGAACTGAGGATGTGAGGATGTGTACTGTGGGGCTCCTCGGAGCATCACTTTCAAATCATTGTTGTTTGTTTTCAGTAACCGTAGGGGTGCGTCAACAAGGTTCGTTCTTTTACACTACTTTTCGCCGTATTTATTTTTGGGTTGTTTATCGATGCATGCCGCTGGCGTGGTCACTATGCTCGCCGCGCCTGAGGGCTGCCTCGCGCGGTGATTGGCAGCGAGTGGCCGGGTCCGGTGGTGACAGCATGACCCGACCCGAACCAACTGCGACACGCCCCAATCCAGTTTAATCGCTCTGCCCCGATGCATTCCGATCCAGTCTGGTTCGATCCAGTTCGAACCGAACCAGACCGGGTTGAACTGAACTAAACCTGAACCGAACCTAACGAAAGTGAAGGTAGACATTTTCCATATAGCGCCGTGCCGTCTTTTCATGTAGCGCCACTCTGGCGTGTCTCAATAACGTCATCACGAATCCCAGCTTTTTTACATTTTAAAGGCACGTAAGCCAGTTTAAATAAAAGAGCATTGTCCCAACGATGAAAAACATAGCCGTTGAGAATGCGCTGGTCCATGTGTAGACTCTCCCTCTGTACTGTACTGTGCGTAAGCGGAGGCCGAGCCACCTGGCGGGTCACAGCTCCGGCGATAGCTACACGACCCCCTGATGGGGTGCGCCTCTCCCTTCACCGACTTACACGAGCGAGGGGCATACGATCGCTGGTCTAGTGCACTTCCCCTTCACTGAGTTTCGTAAGCGAGCGGCGACACCCAGTGCGGATCATTCAGATGGGACGGCAGTGAAGCCATGCGGCGGCAGCTGCGCGTGTCTTGATACGGGTGCTGATGCCTCCACATGGGGAATGGCGTTAAGTGAACGTCAGATACCTTCGGCGATGACTATACAGATTGATGCCAGTTTTGCACTGGTGTCGATCGTGTTATGCATACATATAAGCGGGCCATCAGCTTTGGGAGAAATTAATCGGCAGGGCGGCCCCCGGGCGCCGTGCACATCAACTCCCATCGTGCCGAGACGTGGCAAGAATAGTGGCCTTAGCGGCGACATACGTTGATAAACAACCCAACAGTCGCCAGGATTCTGTCTGATATCGCGTCGTCGGCCTACGTCGGCCTACTGGCTGCAATGCTAATAAGCAGACCTATTTTGGGCCGAGACGTGTGTTGTGCTGAATAGAAGGCTATCGGCATAATTAGGAAGGAAAGGATGAGGCATCTTTTCGTTCGCCTCCTTTTGCCTGTTGCGCGTTGTCAAGTTTCCATTTGCAGCTAAGCCACCAAATGTTATGCAGTGAGCAGGGTTCTGTGGAGGGGCTGCACGTTCCAGCCGTCTTTCCCCGGGCCCGGCGTTGCGTTCGGGTTTCTCACTGCGCCCACCCGGTCGTGCCGTAGGAGCCGCGCGGCGGCCCAGGCCTCCAGCGGTGCCGCGGAGACGGCGACGACGACACCCTCGGCGACGCCCGCCAGCGCGCCGGCGCCCGCCCCGGCCGCCGAGTCGCCCGCGCCCGCCGCCGCCGCCGCCGCCGCTGCTGCCGCTGCTGCTGCCGGACCGGCCGTCCAGCTCAGCGACCTGCAGAGCATCCTGTCCAACATGAACGTGCCCCAGCCAGCCGAAGCCGGCGCCGGCGGCGAGGTGGACCTGTCGTCGGCCATGACGGCCGAGGCGCTGCAGCCGGTGCTGTCCAACCCCGCCTTCCTGGAGAGGCTGCAGCAGTTCCTGCCGTCGATCGGCAACAACGAGCAGCTGCCGCCCGCCCAAAACCTGCGCGGTACCCTGCAGAGTCCCCAGTTCCAGCAGGTAATGCTCGCCCGACGGGGCGCCGGTCCTATCAACACACGCGCAGCCCGCCCCAGATGCCGCACATGAATCCAAATCCGCAGTTGTGGGTCCCGTTTTTACACCGATAGGTGAACACTCAGAAACCAGAGTTACCGCGTCCTCCGATGTTAGTCGTGCACATAATGACGGTAATACGCATGATAGCACGGACGGCACGCACATAATTAGCGTAAAAGTCGCTCCCAGGCTTGACACATCTAACGCTGTTGGACGTCCAAGGCTGATTTCTCCAAACGGCTGTAGGTGGATGGAAGCCGTGAGGCCGCTGGCCGCGGCGGCGTAGCACCCCGGCGCGTCGCGTCGCTGGCGCCCCGGTGCATGCGGGTGTGGATGTGATTGTGCGGTGACCCGGTCCCGTGTGGGGCGGGTCGCCACCGGTCGTCGGCTGACGGTGACGCGGCGCCCCGCCTGGCGGCAGGCGCTGTCGCTGTTCTCCTCGGCGCTGCAGTCCGGCCAGCTGGCACCAGTGATCGGCCAGTTCGACCTGGGCGACGCGGCTGTGTCGGCGGCCGCCGCCGGTGACCTGGGCGCCTTCGTGCGCGCCCTGCAGGAGCAGGGCAAGAAGGACGACGACATGGCCACCGAGTGAGGCGCCGCCCTCCGCCGGCCCCGGCGCGGCCCTACTGTATCCGAGAATGCACCGTACCTACGCAGAGGATCGGAAAATAAACGGTTCAGGCGGTTAGATGGATGTATTATCGAGAGAGGCAATGGCGTTAGCCTGATGTCTGGTGACTGGCTGGTGTCGAGAAAATAACGCAGGCACACGGGTCGCCGTGCGCTTGAATTTCACGCGAACGAACTGCGACGTACACTAAACGACATGTCACATCATAGAAGCCGTCTGGCGCGCCCGAGGCAATCGACGGTCTTCCCCGCAGGAGCCGGCGGCCCCGCGTCGCCCGGCTGGCCGGCTTCAGTACGCCTCGTACTTGTCGTGTTGCCAAGACATCGGCGACATGTGACCTGGCCGACAGCGGCACGGTCAGTGATCTGGCCGGGGTCACCACCAAGAGGGCGTCAACGTGCACAATGCTTTCGGCGTGGGAACAGACTTGCCGCGCTTTGCTTGGTTATACACATCATGGCGGTGACAATAACTGCCGCACGGCAGACATCGAGTGGTCCCAGCTGGGACCAAACGACACCCGGCGGTGGCCGGACACGTCTCTCCATCGGGACGTCTCGTACCAATCGGTCATAACACCATACAACGGTCGTGTTTGAACATCCGTGCACGCACATTTGTTTTCGGACGCGCCGACCGCAGTGGTTATTTGGCGCCCACCGTGCCCACATGCCGGCCTCGCACATCATCCAACGAAATTCCACTGCGAGACGAGTTCTGCTGCGGATTTCGGTGGTCAGGCCGATGGGCATGGCATCCTTCCCCGCGAGGCAAGCACAGCATGCCGTACCATAGTATGTCATGCGGCGACATACCTATGGGCGTTTGCGGGCCAAACGGAACGCAAGATAAAGTCGAATGGAACCAACAACCATAGAGCAAGCGCGCCGTCCAGAGGCGCAGTGTGGATCTTACCTCGTCCCCTGGCGCGTCCTCTGGGTCTGAAGGTGCCACGGCCGCGGCCGCGGTAGCCGTTGTCCCGGTTCTCGTGCTGCCAGCAGGGCACGCCGGGTTCACGTCCAGCATCGACATCCCACACAGTTAGTAGGCAGAGATATCGACAGCTCACACGGCCACCGGCCGCGGGTATCAGCAGCCCACGCAATCACTGGGTTCTGAGGAGGCCACCTTCCGTAGCCGCTGTAACTGGCCGCATGAGCTTAAGCGACCAGACTACATCATCAATTCCTCAAACGTACAATACTGCAAACGTACTAAACTTCCTTCAAGCTTAGGGCGTCACCACTCAAAATAAGTGAATGAAGCGAAGCTACTCTTTTTCGCCATCGCGGGTTGCCATTCAAATTTCCTGGAACTAGCGGGAAATTGTGATCCCAAGACCAATTCAACTCGATATATTGTTCCGGCGTGTTTTCTTTCCGTCTAAAACTGTGCCGTAATGACTATACATGACCGGGGCGCCGCCAATCTCGGCAAGAACAGTGCAGTGGGCTGACAGAGAACCCCTGCTGGTGAAAAGCCTCCCCCAACACAGTGAAATCACCAGGTTTCCTCAACTTGATCTCGAGCGGACCAATTCTCTTCGTCTTATTTTTATTCGTTGCCTTCTTTAACAAAAACAAGCCACAAATAAAAAACCAAGTGAAGAGACCACGCCGGAAATGACAAGCTTGAATAAGCCGCCGGCGCCATTAATTTCACAATGATTGACCATCAGGGGCGATACCAAGCTTTTCGGGGTTTCACATAGACGATGACCCATTCGCCCCATAGGGTGAACATACGTCGATGCAGTGATCTTCATCCTTTCTTCTGACCATTTATAATTCAAATCAGTCCCAATATCAGTGAAAAAGTAAGGAGCATGCGCGCTCACAATCCTAACACATCCACGAACGTCTGGCGGTGCAGCTTCCCAGCGCCGCCCAGCGTCGACCCGCGACTAAGAGTCAGCGGCTGTCCATGCCCGTGTGAAAACTGAAAAAGCCGGATACCAATGTTTCTGCTCCTACAGACCGCGAGCGAGCGTGCTTAAAGCCATTTATCGTTTTACTAGTCGATCCTGCGAAAGGATGGTCGTCCTCACCAAAAACGTACTGTCCTTGCGAATGCAAGTTTATCTCCCCGTCCGATTTACGTTACTAAACACTTCACGTTTTACACTTCATCACTTACTTCCACAACACTTCATCTTCCCCAACAAGGGGTCTAGTTTGTAGAAGGCTAGCGAGCACAGTGTCCTTTCCGACCAGGGGCTAAAAGGTCCTCCGCTTCAGACTGGGATACTCACCGGCTGAGATTCTGGCGACGTGGCCGGGCCCCCTGGTCACTCCCGGGGGCCTCAGGATATATCGCACATCGGTCCCCTACCTGGCGCAGGCTGGCCGTGGCAGTTCGTCCGAATCGACGGGAGCCCTAAATGACGCACACTGACCCCTTCCAGCGTCGGTGGTCCAATAACTGGCACAGGGACCCCAGGTCGACCTAACGCGTCATGGCTGAAACTGAGCGGATGGCACCCCGTTCGGTCTCTGACTGACTGACTTCACTGTCTCACGCCTCACCCTCTCATCGCCATCTCTCAAAGCTCCATTCGTCGTCGGACGGCCCCGCCCAACGCAAGTGATCCTCTGACATCCAGGAACCTGTCCTCGTCCCTATTCCGCAGATGCGCCCAAGCTCCTTTACCGATAGACTGGGCCCCTGCCCTGTCAGACGTTGAGCCCCTGACCGACATAGGGGCTCCCTAATTGACGAGCCCTGACCAATGCAACAGGCCTTCAATAGCAATAGGGGACTGGGTCCTGTCCGTGCTTTGGACATGGGCCACCAAAACCCGGACCGACTGCTCAGCGCTGGCGGCCTCTGACAAGCATAGAGGCCGTCACCATCCAGGGCGTCCCTAATCGGCGCGTGAGGCCCCTAAATGACACCCAGAAGCCCTCTTTACGGGTCGGAGTTTCTTAATAAGACCACCAGCCAGCCATTCGGACGCAAGTGACCCCCGAAATACGAGTCTCCCAAAACAGTCAATATGGCGTCAATACTCGCTCAGGTTAATAACAGCACGCGTGAGTTCGCTGCACTTGCAAGGCAAGCATATCTTGTGTGGTCCCAACATTTTCAACGCACCGGATTGAAAGATATTACACTAAATGGGTATACAGATCTAGTGAATGGCTCAAATTCACACGGTGCTTTTGAGCAAGCCGTTTCCTTCTTGCCCTACAATATTTCTTATATCACAAATGCACCACACAAGGCTGCACATCCTTGGCTGGGAGGCTTCCCATGGAAAGTACAAATCTACCCTTATTCCAGATATAAATTACGTCGGAAGCCTTCTAGCCAGTCCTATACCATGTGGCAAAGCCAGGATTTCGCTCGTGAGGGGACCAAAACGGGTAATTTGAGGCCATTTCACCCGAAGGCTTCCTATTCGTCGTTACAGGGGCCTTCATTTTGCGTTCTGGTGTACCTAGGCTTGGCACACTATTCCGTGTCCGCGGGCCAGTTTTAATTAAGCCCGGCGACCGTCTCTATCTGTGAATAGTAGTGGGCTTTCGTTCCCAGGGGGTGCCCGTCCCCACAAGGGAGTGGGGGGGGGGGGGGGGGGGCGAAGTACCACATGCTCCTTGTTTGGCTACGTCACTGCCCCTGCCTTATAACAAACATTCCCAGAAAGGTGAAACATGATATATGCAGATCTCTCGCAAGAATCCATTCTCCCGCACAAATGAACACACTGCATTTGTTTTAGGTGTTTCGATGATCTCCAAGATACATAACACGCATCTGCATACTATTCAAAACAACCCCTGGCCGCTTGCGTGGGTCAGAGGAATGCAGCAAGGGACGGCGGCACTGGCCATGCGTGGTACTGACCGAGTAGTAATCCCTCCTCATCGGCGGATCCTCGCCCCAGATCGGCGGCTTGTTGGGACGCTGGGAGAAGTCTGGCAGCCGGTGGTCCTCGACGTAATCTGGTCAATAGACGCAAAGGTGAGCGCTCCGGCATCCCTTGGATGATCTGCTACACAAGGCAGAAACCGTGGCTTACCGGGAAAGGGCAAAAGGCAATAGTACAGTATTTCGTCAATGCTGTTGAAGAGCAGTTTCAAGGCATAATTGCGACCAGTTAGTTCAGGGCGGGCTCCCTGGTACGCCACCAGTGCGGCGCAGCATTACCGTCTCTCGGGCGCTTGGGGCCCAGCCGGTCCCTAACGCTGCGGTCCACCAGTTTGCGGTCATCTTTGCCGGAGGGCTCCCTGCGAATCAGCGACATGAGCTCAGCACAGGGCGCCGACGGGCCGCACGGGGACTGCGCGCCCCGCTCCGGCCTTCACACCCGTCCGCCGGTAGCCCTGGAGCGCAGCGCCCTGGCCCAGGCCCCCGGCAGCATACCAGCAACAGCGGTGAAATTTGGGAAGGAAGCTTGGAAATTGCGCTATTTAAGCCGCGCTGCATTAGCGGATGTGCTGAACACAGACATACATGTGTTTTACTATGCAGTCAATGACAGGTGGGAAGGGTGCGAGGAAATCAGGAATGCATGGTCAATGCTTACAATGTCGCGAGAATAGGCGCTGCAGTTTCAATTGCTGACAGTGGCCATCAGTATGTGGTGCACATAGAGAGGTTGACAAAATGTACGTTTTTTCTTGAGAGGGATGTTCCACGCTTGAAGCTGTTAAAGTAAGCATCACATACGATACAATAAGCTCACCTATAACTTTTTGTATACTTTTAAGTGGAAAAGACTGCTCTTGATAGCACAATTGCTCCGCTTAGTAAATATACTCCTCCATACGTCACTATTCGATTACGTCATCGTTCCCTGCACAATATTGATGGAAAGCCCATTGGCGGTCGTTTTATCCGCAAATCGTGCTCGCGAACGCCAGATAAGAACGACTCAACAATTGTATTTTTCTTGGCGTTGATCGCCGCATGGCCAATGAAATAACAGGATTTGAATGACGTTATTAAGGCGTCATGGGTGCCTGGGTGACCTTGAAATAGTCTCGCCAAAATAATTTGCACATCTTCCCGGATGTGAAGCTCAGAAACTAGACGGGATTTGGTCTTAAGAACAGCAAGACTGTGAAATGCACCGATAACCTTTAAAATGCCTTATTAGTTCAAAACCCCACACAAATGTGAAGCACTTGCTGCAAGACCTAAACCCCTCTAGTTCCTGGGCATCACGCAGCAAATATGCGCAAACTATTTCGTGCAGACTACACTTTAAGGTCACTCATGCGTGTATAATACCAAGAAACGTCATTCAAATCTTGCCACCCATTGGCCATGCATCGCTCAAGGCCAACAATAACATAGGCTACCAGCTGTTCATATCTGATGTTCGTGAGCACGATTTTCAGGCATAGCGGTCGCCAACTGACTCACAACCAATGCTATGTGGGCCGTGCGAGTCTCACTCACGGTTGGTTCATTGACTGGTTGGGTTAGAACCCTTTCGACCAGAACGTATCACTCCAGGGCGATGGGATAAAGGAGGGCGAAAAACGGTGGGGCAAAACTACAGGCGCCTGATGGGCCGAACGCCGACCGTTAGCCCGCGTAAGGACTTTCAGAATCGAATCTGGCTTCGGGTTGTTTGGATTAGAGCCATTTCGACCAGAAATGGTCATTCAAATGGATGGAGGAAAATGGTTAACGGTGGGGCAGACTTGCACGCGTTTCCGGACCCAACCGCCGAGTTTTACCCCGCGCATGCGCGCCGGATATCCGGTCGGGGTCCCCTTCCCACGGGGCTCTCGGCACGCTTGTGGCTGACGCACGCGGCCTGCCCCGGGCGAGCGGGGCGCGGACGGGGTGCACAACAAAACAAGACAGAAGATAAGAGGGACAGACGTCACGATCGGGCAATACGGAGGACGTCAAATGCTAAGTGGTGACAAATACATTGAGTGCCAAGTAATACGAAGAGTTGGGCATCCTTACTGGTTCTTAATAGGAATAAGGCCTGTACTCCAATATCTTAGGAAACGCGTTATAGCCGAGTAAGTGGACGCAAGTAAACAACTTGACCTCACGGATACATACGCAAGAACAACATGATAAATGGCCAAAACACAAGCTCAACGATACGAGTTCAGCGTCGCTACAGCTCCACTTACAACACTGCCACGGACACCTCTCGGACGATTGATGCACAAGTGAGTGATAGGACGGCCATTTCGCACCGCTAATTCGCAGCACCTCAACGTCATACAAACGTTCCGTGACGCAATCAAGCAATGGCGTGATGAGCTTATTTAAAGAATGAAGAAATTGTGCTGTCTAGGGCAGTCCTTCCCACTTAAAATTATACCCATAGCTGAAGTGAACTTATGTCGTAATGTTAGACGCTTGCTTCCATACCCTTAAATATGGAACATTCCTTTTAATCATTTTGATGAGCGAATCACACTCACGGCATGCATCTGAACATCTTCAATAGTCTTTAAAAGGTAGTGTGAAAACCACTCAGAATACATCACGCCAAACGCGTCCATGGAGGTTCCATCGACAATGAACGAAAATGCCCATCTGGCAGGCTCGCGACCGATAATTAACGGCCGCGCCGACGCCAACACCATGCTCTTCGGCTGCGCGTTGTAGCAGTTGGCCCAGATCTACGCCATTCGTATGTGAGAAGCGTGGCTCGACAGGCCAGCCCTTTCACTGGCTTCGGCGGGTGCGGACCTCGATGGGCGCGGGCCCCAGTGGGCTCGAGCCTTGCCGCGCGCGGGCTTCGGAGGACGCGGGCCTCGGCGGGCGCGGGCCTCGGTGGGCGCGGTCCTTGGTAGGTACGGGCCTCGGTGGGCGCGGGCCTCGGTGGGCGCGGGCCTCGGTGGGCGCGGGCCTCGGTGGGCATCGGCCCCGGTGGGCGCGGGCCTTGGTGGGCGCGGGCCTCGGCGGACACGGGCCTCAGTGGGCGCGAGCGTCAGTCTTGTGCATAGAGCTGAAAATCCCGTGCGGAAGCCCACTTGACATGTCAGCCGATGACGGAGACTTCGAGGTGCAAGCGCAGCAGCTCTTGATCCCGGGGATCGGTGGGAAGTCTTCTGTTGGTCCTCACGTGGGCGCGCGTTGAGCGGTGCTACTCCTGCCTGAGCAGCCATGACCACTGACTCAGAAGACCGATCTCTCCAGGGATCCCTCATCGGGCCTCCGCCTAAAGCGCACCCCAACGCATTTGCTGGGTCATGTATCAACGCGTGACACTGAGGTCATTAACCTCGCTGGAGTGGACGGCATGGATTAACATACACTGTCATCCGCCACGAACGGGAAAGATCAGCAGGTGCGCATCGACAACCGTTCAGTCCAGTGTCTTGAGAGGGACTGCTAGCGGCGTCCTGTCACGACAGCCTGATGTCAGGTCGCAGATGTGCCTGACGCACAGTCGCGTACGTTGTTCCATTTGACTTGCCGGCAGGCTCTCGGAGTTGCGTTACTGGCGGTGGTCATGGAGTCGCATAAACCAGTGTCACTCAGGTCTCGCTGCGTCGCCGAGGCTCCAGTCCGGTCTCCAGTCTGGTCTCAAGTCCGAGGAATCTCGCGGACCCACCTTGCACGGGCCGATACCGAGATGAAGCCTTGACTGGTGTCCTTCCACAGTGGTCAAGGTGAATAAGGTTGGTTCCACGATCACCTTGACGCTTGGTCGCGCGTCACCATTCCGCGACCGACGCGTGCCGTGTAGACGCTGATGAAAGCTACGGTGCTCATGGAATGACGCAGTGCTCGGCCACATCGCTCGTCCCAGCGTCGGAGCGCCGCGACACGACTTCGCCAGCTGACCAGTTGGGCAGGGACGCCCAGCACCAGCGCCAGGAGACACCAGCCAGCCAACAGCTCACTTTACCGCCCCGATCCGACGGTGGCATGCGGCCAATGAGCGGCCTTTCGTATGGGTACGGGCGTATTAGGGCCTTTGTTCTAGCAATGATTTTTGTTGAAGCGCTGAGGCCACGAACATACACAGCCCAAATGAAACTCTTTTTGGAGAGGGCACCACTTTTCCTTATCGTCAGTGATAACGGTCAATCCTTATTACGCCCAATTCAACTTATTCAAATTCAAAAGCACTAACTTACTTCAAGTTCTCGCACACAGCAGGTCTCTTGTTACCTTATTGTATCTGGGCACGGTGCATACCTGTCCCAACAATATCCACGTTGACGAGATTGACGGTGACGAAGCGAACAATGATACGATGACCACCACCTTCATCTGGTGGCCAGTTGACGAATGAAGCTTTCCGCATTCACTTTTAAAAATGTTCTTTCCACCAGCACTTAGCAGTGGTGGCTGGATGTACTTCAGAGTCCCATGATCTCGCGGTAGCTGGATGTTTCGACCGCCACAGGCGGTGCGCATAGCCTGTGCCGGACAGGCAGTCCACACGCGCGGCTGACGATGCGACAACACTTGGACGTTCACAACGCCGACAAAGCGGTTTGTGTAAGGATTGGTGAGTTCAGTTTTGAGGAAGATCCATTACCTTCCGTTGGACAGCACTTAGACAATTTAACTGCCCTTGAGCACTTCAATCGCACACCTTGTAGGGCTTGGAAGCTTGATTGTTGGCATCGACAGATTATAGCGGCATCACCTCGGCACGCCTCCAGGAGGTCACGGTCCACCACAGCGAGCTGACCGCACCTCGCGTCGGTCCACCACGAAAGCGAGCCGAGAGCCACGCCGCAGTCGAAGCGTCTGAACGGCGTCAACACCGCCGCATTTCAGTCATTCTCTGGGTGACTGGCCACGCCCGACGCCGGCCACGCAGTCGCGCTGCTGCACGCATGTCTCGAGGAGGTCGGGAAAGGGTCGCGTCCTTTCCCTCGGGGGGGAGGTCGGGAGGTCGGGAGGTCCCGTCCGGTCATTGGGGCCTAACGACGCGCTCAGCTGCTGAGGCTATATGGCGTCACCTGCCTTTCACCCTGGCAGGAAGGGCGGGCACCGCGGGGAATCGAACCCCGTACCTCTGGTTTCCCAGACGTGCAGTGGTTAACGCAGACGCCTTAACCATTACACTACCGGCACCCCTGTAGGGTGCCGGTAGTGCACGCGTCCCGTCCGGAGCACGCGACCAGCATGCTCGTAGGAGCCCGGGCGTCCCGGGGCAAGACAGAACATGTGGCCCGTCTTCGATGTGCTTTTGCTTCGCCAAGTTCGTCCTTCGGGTGACGAAGAACTACGCCGTCCAAGAAACAGGAATGTTCTGACGTGACAAAGCACGCATGGGATCGAGTTTAAAATAGCTCAGTTAGCGACACGCGGATCTGCACAAGCCACGAACACCATGCGCCTCAAAGTGCGCTGGATCCCAATTAAGGCCGGTATTACAGCTGAATACAAGTGCCGATAATATTGAAACCTCTTGTCGTTCGACGGATGGGATGTCGTTCGACGCACCAATTCTGCGGGCTTCAAAGTGTCACCTTCGCGTTGTAATCAGATAACCGCGCTGCGCTCTGTTCCAGAGTTGGTCCCCAAAAATCTTTGTATGTGACATCTGTCGACAAGACTAAATGTCCTCAATTACGCTCACTTCAGATACGTGCTTGCATTACGTTCCTTTTCAGAGGCGTGCCTTTTCTTGAACTTCTTGACATCGATATCGCACCTTTCAAAGAAGCAGCAGCGTGGCACGGGTTGCAAGTTTGCGGTCCAACCTAAAACTGTTCCAATCTAACGGTATTCCGCTCAGCTGCACCCGGGACGCACCACCTGCGCTTGTACTCACAATGAGATGAAAACATTTCTTATCAAGTTGACACTGCACTTCACGCACCATGTTACTGTTAAACAGGCCGTGATACCTGAATTTCACATCCAATCGATCTTGAAACACTACCATCACCTGAACTCGGAGTTCCGTCAACAGCCATTGTTGCAAGCGTCCGTGGGCCGTGGTTCTACGCCGCCACTTTATCTGGGGGTTCCTGCGGTCTTTGACGGTAGCAGGCTCGCAACGAAAGGCAACGCAGAACTTGTGCTTCCTTGGTATGCCGCTCCACGCACGTAAAACACAGGCGAGCGCTGTTGATATCCCGCGCTGGCTGAAGAGCAGACTGCATAATCCAAAACGCGAGGCCTGATCTTGTGACTTGCGAACTATACGACTGGAGTCCCGTACGCAACGCGATTCCTTCTTTCACACCATCCCTTAACGGTGCATTTTTAAGCTGCCCAGAAGAGGGAGGTCCCGTACATTGCGGATATGCGTAGGTCCTCCTGACTATCAACGACTTCCGTCAGGGTGTTCCGGACTGCTGAACATCAAGTAACGATTGGCTTTGCCCGGATGGATGGGACCAATATCATCTAGGCGACATTCCCATTAACAGAGAACAATAGCTTTCTGGACTGTCGCCCGAAAACCCCGCAAGTTGTTTCCAAGTTGTCTCGGAGAAACCCAGTGCCGGTGCCAGCGACAAGCCACCTTCACTGCCAAACATCCTTGGAACATGAAGTTTGCAGGTCTTACGCGACTCCTCAGGAACGAAGGATTAAAATAATTCTGTGTCATCCTCCTCTGCTCCACGATTCCGGGTTGGGTACCGTGATGGTTGTTCTCGCACAACAGCAGAAACAGGTCGCGGGGAAACATCCAACATACTTGGAAGGAGCTTCAAGCCGTCTACATGTTTTCCACCTTCTTCATGCTAGCTCTGAGTCGGATCACCAATCATAATGCGGAAGATGGTCTCTTCGACGGTATGTCGTAGTTAACCACTCACCCATACTTCTCATCTCGCATGGTCTCCTCATACTTTCTCTCGTAGCGCTGAATCTGTTCCAATTTCCTGTCAATGGCCACCTCCATTTGCTCTAGTTTCTCTACTTGCCGCTGGGTGCGCTCGGACCGGTCTCTTTCAATCCGGTCGCCCACAGGGGCGGCGGGTTGGTTGTCCATCGGTGGTTCAAAACCACGCTCACGGGATCGTGATGGACGATCAAAGGAACTCCCCTCCCGGCGGTCGCCTGCAAAAGGGCAACACCACGTATCAGAGCACTCTTCATTGAAGTCACAACGAGGCGACACGCACATGCATCCGAAACGAACCGAACCCTCCCAGCGTGAAAAAAATGCTAAACCAACTCATGCGTGTTGACGCCACTGGCCGCGGTAGCTCCGACTGAAGTGCATGGAAGTGCATTGTACTTCCTTTTGCACGGCACAATTTTGATCCAAATCCTGGCCAAGGGGGCTATATTGGTCAGCTCTCTGACACCTGCAGCCTACAGCCCATGCACATAATACCATGAAGTGGCGTAAGACGAGCCCCACTTCCAAAACTTTCGGTCACGTTATACACCGAATAAGGGACCTCTGACATACGCCAGGAACTTCCAAATACGTAACCATTGACTTCAGTTGCCAAGTACAAAACAGCTCCAACCTCATCACAGGCTCATCCGGACATACTGCCGGCCAGTCAACGAACAAAAATGCCAGCTCCTCCGCTCACCCGCTAGCTTCCCTAACCTGTCGCTAAATGCCGGGGCGCGGTGCTCACCTGTCGCCTGGCCCGGCTCCCGGATAATGGCCACCACGCGCGGCTCATTCGGCCCAGGAGCAGCGTCATCGAAGCGCCGGTTGATGGCGCTGCGCAGTTCCGGCCGGTCCAGCAGCGGACGCGAGCCCTCACCTGGCCGTCAGGGCGCTTCGTCAGACGGTGTTCGGTACTGTCCAACCTGCTAGAAAGGATAGGATAGGAAGACGGGAAGGCAGGCAGGTAGGAGGAAAAAAGGAAAGAAAAAGGGAAAGAAGGAGAAAATAAAGGAGAGAAGAAAGGAAAAAAGGAAGGAAGAAAGGAAGGAGGGAAGGAAAGAGAAAGAAAGAAAGACGGAAAAGAAAAGAAAGAAAGAAAAGAAAAAGAAAAAGAAAGAAAAAGAAAGGAGGAAGGAAGGAAGGAAGGAAGGAAGGAAGGAAGGAAGGAAGGAAGGAAGGAAGGAAGGAAGGAAGGAAGGAAGAAAGGAAGGAAGGAAGGAAGGAAGGAAGGAAAAAGGAAGGAAGGAAGGAAGGAAGGAAGGAAGAAGGAAGGAAGGAAGGAAGGAAGGAAGGAAGGAAAGGAAGGAAGGAAGGAAGGAAGGAAGGAAGGAAGGAAGGAAGGAAGGAAGGAAGGGAAGGAAGGAAGGAAGGAAGGAAGGAAGGAAGGAAGGAAGGAGAAGGAAGGATAGGAAGGAAGGAAGGAAGGAAGGAAGGAAGGAAAGGACGGAGGAAGGAAGGAGGAAGGAAGGAAGGAAAGGAAGGAAGGAAGGAAAAGGAAGGAAGGGGAAGGCAGAAGGAAGGAAGGAAGGAAGGACGGAAAGGAAGGAAGGAGGAAGGAAGGAAAAGGAAGGAAAGGAAGGAGGAAGGAGGAAGGAAGGAAGGAAAGGAAGGAAGAAGGAAGGGGAAGGGGGAAGGAAGGAAGGAAAGGAAAGGAAGGAAGGAAGGAAGGAGGAGGAAGGAAGGACAAGGAGAAGGAGGAAGGAAGGAAGGAAGGAAGGAGGAAGGAAAGGAAGGAAGGAGGAAAGGAAGGGGAAGGAAGGAAGGAAGGAAGGAAGAGGAAGGAAGGAAGGAAGGAAGAAGGAAGGAGGAAGGAAGGAAGGAAGGGAAGGCGGAAGAGGAAGGAAGGAGGAAGGAAGGAAGGAGGAAGGAAGGAGAAGGAAGAGGAAGGAAGGAAGGAAGGAAGGAAGGAAGGAAGGAGGAAAGGAAGGACGGAAGGAAGGAAAGGCAAGGAAGGAAGGAAGGCAAGGAGGAAGGAAGGAGGAAGGAAGGAAGGCAGGAAGGAAAGGAAGGAAGGAAGGAAGGAAGGAAGGAAGGAAGGAAGGAAGGAAGGAAGGAAGGAAGGAAGGAAGGCAAGGAAGGAAAAGGAAGGAACGGAAGGACGGAAGGAAGGAAGGATAGGAAGGAAGGAAGGAAGGAGGAAGGAAGGAAGGAAGAGGAAGGAAGAAGATTGACGGCACGGAAGGAAGGAAGGACAGGAAGGAAGGAAGGAAGGAAGGAAGGCAAGGAAGGAAAGGTAAGGAAGGAAGGACGGAAGGAAGGAAGGAGGAACGGAAGGAGGAAGGAAGAAGGAAGGAGGAAGGAAGGAAGGAAGGAAGGAAGGAAGGAAGGAAGGAAGGAAGGAAGGAAGGAGAAGGAAGGAAGGAAGGAAGGAAGGAAGGAAGGAAGGAAAAGCCATTGCTGTGCTTTACTTCTTCTTCTTACTTCTCCTAACATCATTCTTGAACCGCCAGTGATCACAGTTGCCAACATGATGCGCATCCTCTTTTATCTGGTCTAGTACAGAGTATGTACGAGTTCCAAACCAGAGTAATGCTTATAAGCTGACAAAATACTATGATTGAACATAAACTGCGTAAATTTTCACAAACATACCGACATCTTACAAAACAAAGCTATTGGTGTCCCAAGATAAAGAGATTTCACCTATTCAAACAGCAGGTGACACGTCCAGAGTACTCACCCGTTCTGCGGTATAGAACAATGTCGTCCGCATTGATAATCCTTCTTATTATAGGAGAACTGCTCCTTTTGCCTTTTGGCAAGTTCCGCTTGATATCCACTGTTATCTTCTTTAAGTCGTGAACAGCAATCCGAGTACCCCATGGACCAAAGAAATCATCCGGATGGCTGTTGACAACATTTAAGCATTGTTAAACACGCAAAGTACACACATACATCTATCACGGCTGTGTGATACGCCAGTCCGGAGATACACGAGTTGTTGACGTTTAAATCTGGGCTAGTTGCTTAAGCCAAGCGCTCGATGTCAACAAAGAAGCCTCACTATGTATCCAGGTAGGGGCCTCATTAGATATCACGTTTTGTGACATGCAGGCGATCTTCAGCCCGTGAACCGTCTGCATGGACGACACAGCTTTCAACTCACCCGTCCAAGCTTCTGCGCGCATCACTTGCCACGCGATGGGACCCACGGGGACTGCTGGCTCTGGAACAACAAAACGTCCCGTGGCATACTGTGCTATGTGCACTACAAGGTCGAATGCCATATTCCTGGCATCACATAACATGATCCGATCCGCCCTCTTTTTTAGCTGTTGCGCAGAACAGTGTCGCGTGTACTCCTGATTTGAACTGGAGATTTTTTTTTACAAATCATGCTCTAAATATAATGCATGATTTCAGCAAAATCTTGACTTCAAACAATGACCTGTGTGGCCCAGCGGCGACAGCATCTCAGCCGCGCGGTACATAATGTGCACTAGCATTCTGGCCACGCTTAAGGTCATGGCGTCAATGACGCCTCCAGCTGAACAACGAAATACGGAAGTGCTAATATGCAAGTCGTTCTGGATGTGTGACGTTGCAAACATAACATGCCAGCTGTCCAACTCACAACAGCTGTCTTGATCACAATTTCGAGCACAAATGGAGCAGCCGTGCAGACATGCCAAACGAATCGCCGCACATCGCGGTGCCAGTGCGCGATACCTCTGTTTGCGGGGAGAGCGGGAGCGCGACCTGCGCATCGGCGGCGGCGGCGTGAAGGAGCGGCGCCGCCGCATGGGCGGGCTGCCTCCGCCGCGGTACCCCGGCGACGGCGGGTGGCGCTTCTTGGGCGGCGGGCTTACCGACCGACTGCGAACACCGCAAAAGTGCCGATCAGTGTCAGTCACGACGCCTTCACAGCTCTGTTATCAGTGGTGAAAGAGCACAACCCTCGCCGCATGTCGCTCGCTTCTGGACGGTCAACCAAACGAGTCATCTTCCTACCATGGCTACGTGCAAGCCATGACAATGTCTGAGCACTACTACCGGCCATCCTCAAATGAGACGGTATGGCGCCTTACGTGCACGTCGCGGGAAATTCTGAGTGTTGCCTTGCTCGGCATTTTGAGCTACTGGGCCATGTTGAGCCTTGCGCACCTCGGTGCACGGCCGTCCACGCGGGGGGAGGCGGACACCCGCTGAGCCCCACCTTCTGCGGTGCATGTCAGGAGACGGCTTGCGAAAGTCTCTCTTCATGCGTTCACGATCCGGATACGCTGGCGGATAGTGCTCCCCTCTGGCCGGGGGTATGGGCCTCATATCACGGCCGGGCGGCGACATGCGGCGGCCGACCATCTGGCTTGTGGCTGGCGACTGCTCGGTACTTGAAGCTTCGTTTTAGGTTACTGAAAACTATAACCGGAACACGCACATGATATCACAGGTCCAATGACTTGAGGTCTGTAGTAAAAACGGCTTTTTGGGGCAACACAAAACACAATGACAGGGTGCAGGGTGGCGGACATCCGACAGCGACAGGCAGAACCGTATGTTACGGGTCGCGGAAGCTGTCTTTCTGCTGCGCATGCAGAACGTATGCGCGTGCAGAGCTGTGTATGCCAGTCTTTGTGACTTAGAAATGTTTTCAGTGTAACACACCCCAACACAAATGTGCTGGTAACACCGGACGGTTTCAGAGTGTCCGATCCTTCGGCAGCCTGAAAGGGCGTGATGCAAACGGGCATACTACGCACTGCTCTCTTCAAGACCAACGCCGCGAACCCTAGAGGAGTTGCTGACCACTTGGGGTTCCGCTGTCGCAACGGGACGCCCGGTGAGTCCGTGCACCACACTCGTCCAGGGAAAGTCCGTAACTTTCATCGCCGCAATCACGACCGACTTGCTGAAAATGCTGGGTGGCAGCGGGACAGCGGACATCGAAATCAGCCCCGAGCGCTAGTGCACACCGGGCACTCGACGCGAATGTGCTTGCTGCCGTCCGGCTTTCCACAGGAGGGACAGCTACTGCTCTACGCCAGGGACAGCTGCTGCTCTATGCCTGGGACAGCTACTGCTCTACGCCAGGAGCAGCAGAATAGCATCCCGTGTCAGTGACGAGATGCCAATCCGAGGTCAGTCGCACCCGCGCTAGTGACGGGATGCCGTCCACAGTCAGTAGCATCCCGCGCTAGTGACGAGACGCCGTCCGAGGTCAGTAGCATCCCGCGCTAGCGACGAGATGTCGTCCGTGTGGCTCGGAGAACATTGTCGGCGTACGTGGTCTTGAGTTGCTGCCGGACCTAGTTGGGCTTCGTAGGGCTTCTTCCCATGATGTGCACTACCCACTTGTCACCACGCGCGCCAGGAAGGTCGAGTGACATGGAGGCTGGATATTCGCTGGTACCTTCCGTAGCTTTTCTCCGTTGGTACGAATGGTTCTTGGCGCAGTGGCGATCAGGTGGTTCGATGCGTCTGATGCTGTCCTGCTGCGCGAAGGTTTGCGACTTCAGCCACAGCCTTCTAGTCGCCACCACCTGTGCTTTGATGCTGTTGACAACACCTCAGCAGGAGCACAGGCAGCCTTTTGATTCAGCTGGCAGAGCTGGACTGCGCTGCACATTCCTTGCTGCCATGATAAGATAAAGCACACTTCAAAAGATGTCTCTTCACAAACCGAGATAGCAATGCCACCTATTCACATTGAGGTTAGTGAAGCAATTAGCTCAGAAATGCCAGCATTAACACTTGTTAGCTGCTTAAAAACCATCCCTTGAAAATTAAGAATGCTAAAGTGGCCTTGAGGCTCATGGAATACTTCTATTGAGGGCATCACAGCCCATCACATACTAGAGGCACACAACAAAATTATATAAATATATGCATGAATGTGGTGGTATTGCCTGGATGGCACAAGACATGTACTGGCTGTGATCAAAAGCAGAGCTAAAGAGCATTTGGCAGATTCTAAGACAACATTATAGCTTTGAATATTTCATGTCCACAGGCAATCTCACCTTACCCCCCTAAAACCAGTGGAACTGCTACTGAATACATCAGCTTTGCTCACATAACTATGCAAAGCCACCTAGACATGACAGACATGCTTAAAGCTTATCTGATCTTGGCTGGACATTTCAATGAAAAAAGATATTGCATATGCATTAACTGCATATCATGCACAGAGTACATACTCACTGCAATGTCTGTGACTTTTGATCAAGCACACCAGTTTGGGAAGCAGGGTCATCCCCATGGTCATTGTACCCTTAATAGCAGAGGGAATCACATTCTATAGAGTTTAACACCATGGCGTTGTCAACACCTGGAAAGCAATGTCTCAAAACCCATGTTGCAGCCTCAAAAGTTAAACCACCCTAGACCCAGTAATATGAGTGGTTCATAAGAAGCCCCAGTTCTCATAATAGCATTGAAACAAGCTTTTTACTGTCATTGTGTCATATGATAGTAGAGCTACCTGGAATCCTGGGATTTGTTCTCACGACATGCGCTCTTAAGCATTAATGAGCTTGCTCTTGGACTTCTATCTTTTTGCTGCTGCAAGTTTAGTCATAAAGATATTTGAAAATGATGATAAATCACTCAGAAGTATGCTATTCTCATAAAGACCATACAATTGACAAAATCAGTCACACTTTGTCATACTTAAGGATTTTACCTGTATGTACATGACCATACATGCATGCACTGTGATGCATTGACAAACATGCATTGTGATGAACAGAATAAATGAACTGTTTGCTATGAAGCCAATCTCAAATACTATGTACCAATGATGCTTATGAAATGGAGGAGCAGTACTCTTGATCTTTATACAGACAGACAATGCTGTTCTCCCCACAATATTAAAAAGGATGGCATCAAAATTTTGTTAACAATTTGAGCTGTTCAGCTGGTGAAAGTACTGGTCGCCACACGCACCTCAGAATCAAGAATAAAGAGAATGGAAATGTGTATGTTAAGGTTGCATCTTCCAAATTATTTGAGTTCATTGGAAAATAAAATCAACACTTTACAACAGTAATATAGCCCAATGCAATATCAGAGTATCACTGGGAATTGAATTAAATTGGTGATGCAAATAACATAATGTAACATAATAGGACAAAAGCAACTCAACATAGCTAATAAAGAAGCAAATAGATTTAAAGTTATTATTTTTCATTATATTCCTACCAAATAAGGATATCACATTTAGTCACTTTGTTGGCCAATCAACCACCAGCATGTGTGCGCTGATATAGTACTGTCAGTGTTTAAGCCTGCTGTTTACTGACATTAGCATAACTATGTGTACAAGATAAGATGATCTCATTGCCCTATTTTGCCATAAATTACATTTCCTGCCATTAAATTTCACTTCTCATTCACAGTTATCATTTTAATCTTGATCACATTTCAATCAAATCATTAAGCTTTTACTAACCTGAGATGCACGACCCATTGTCAGGGAGCCACCTAGCATTGCCAGACTAAGAGACCAGACAAAGTTCTATTTTTACCAACATGCTCCATATTGATGCACTTAATTCTTATATGAAAAAATCCAGGTCACCCCTTGTGCCAGTCCTATACCTACACAATCATTAACTACAAAGCACGATATGTCCCATTTATTGAACCCATATGAACATGCATGGTTCATAGGGGTTATCTACCCCCCTTCACATGCCACTTTCTGCTCCTGTGGCATGAAATCCATTTAAGTTTGGAGAGATCACAGCAGACACAGTTCTTCTAGATAGAAACAGGCAGGACATTCTGGCCCCGAAAGCCTGCATACAAATACTAGACTTGACCAGCACGGCAAACCGCGGTAACCCGCAATATATGACCCAGGAAACGACAAGAGCAGACGGTACAAGCTTTGATATGCCCGACATGAGGCGAAAAAAGCATATAATCATGGGATAATCAAAAAAAGCGAGAAACTGACCCACGGCGCGCCCTCGGCCAGCCCCCAAACGGCTATCCTCTGTCAGCAGCCAACACCGCAACTTCTCGTGAAGCGCAAGGAGGTGCAGTGCATACGCTTTGATATAAGTTGGGTTTTCATCCGCTCTGCAACGGGCGGTTACGTCACTGGTGCCAATATTTCAATGCAGTGCGGCCGCTGGCCGTAGGTGTAACGTTGCGGAGCAGCCGGAACATCGGAAATTCTCATACAAATCAGCAGCTCAGACAGGGGTACAAGTGGCACGTGCCCGCCCCCTTAGGTTCCATGGGGTCCCAAGGGCCCACTGAGTTGATAAGGACCCATATTTCGATCAGACACCACCGGGAGCGCGCAGTCAGCTCCGTGGCGGTATGGGCCTAAGCGCCCATTTCCCAAGCAGGGGCAAAGCCGAAGCCAATTATTTGCATTGCTCGGGACCACACAGTGCCTAAAACGGGTCCTGTGTTGTCAAGGGACCCCCAGTTGGCAAGAGGCAGTGTTCGAGGAGGCCCGAAGAGCCTAGAGGGCCAACTGGGTCCGACGATCAAGGACGCGATTGGAGGGTCTAAGGGCATAAGTGGCTGGTCGACATTCAGGGGCCCCGGCTTGCGAACATGGACCCTCAAATATCGGTCAGATGGCCCTTTCCAACCGATCGGAGGCCCCCTGAGTCGGTATTGGCCGACATGTCGGGCAGGTGCCATCACTATCGCACAATCGGCTCCGTGTCGAAATGGGTCTGACAGCCCCATTCCCATCAGGTATAAAGCCGAGGCTAATGATTTACACCTGTCGGGGCCTTGTATCTGTCAGGGGTCCACAGCGCCTAACAGAGGGTCCTGTGATTGCAAGGGTCCTAAGGCGACAAAGAGAAGCGTTCGATGACGCCCGAAGAAGGGCCCGAGCGAGCCTCCGGAACCTACGATCAAAGGCCTGGTTGAAGAGCAGAAGCGCCCGAAGTACTAGCTTTAGGTCACAGACAAAATCGCTGTCCATATGGTCGTGACCCGAAACATCAGTCAGAGGTCCTCCTGCACCGTTTGAGGAACCCCTGAGAAAATGCGGGTATCTAAGTCGATCAGATACCACGAAAACCGAACGACCGACCTTACCGTTACCCAAGAACAGGTAACCAGGAGTACTCATCCCTCTATCTCAGCGACGCAATAAGCCGTGCGTTAACACCAGAATGCATAAAATCAAGTCGCGGCACTCCCAGCTAGGAAGAGGAAACAAACATAAAGGAGCAGGCAAAGAGGTGGTGCAGGCCCGGCAGTAATTGTGTTGTGCAATAGGCAAGGACAGATCATAGATGAGGAGGCTTAAAGTAGCCATAGCCAAAGTCAGCTAATGACAGCCCGTTAGAACCATCCAATAAGCTGCAACCACTCATTCACAGTGCTAGGTACAGTCACACAAGTCGGACGGGCAATTAACCTGTCATTTTCGTGCCGGATTTTGAGTTTGATGTCCAGGGAGTCCACCAAGCTGAGCTCAGCTTGTTGCTGGGAAAACTCCTGGAGCCAGCGCCATGAATTTGGGTACAAGTGCATGAATATAACTTTATCAGAACGTGATTACAGAACATGAAGGAGGTTGAATATGAAGTGAGTTACATACGTGTGGTGCAAAAAATGGCAAAAATCTTCAAATATGTTGGTTACGTCAATATGTCTTCACAAAAGACTTGCTCGTGGTGTTCTTAACGATGGTTTTTGATGCGGATATATCAGTTATTCTTGGAAAATATAAAACCATTATGTTGTTCCTCAGCTTAGGGCTGAGGCAAAATGTTGCAAATAATCTATAATTACGATTAGAGAAAGGTTGGTCTTAATTTTTTGCTCGCTTCATATCCATTTAATTTAATGCGTAGGACTGCATATTAAATCAAATGATGCAGGAAGCTGTGAAGACAGTACTTTGTACATTACAGGTAACGTTGTGATTTAGCGTTACCCGGTAATTTCAAAATTTTGTATCGTTTAAAGATTGGTTCGGAGCTTTGTGGAGGGGACACGTTTTCTATCAGACCCACAGCCTTTTTTCCAAAATTACTAACCGATCTAGTTGAGAAGCATAATTTGCACCCCAAATCGAACGGCAGTAATTTAAACAAGGAAGAATTTAAGTGTTATCAAGTAGCTGTGACGTTGTTTTATCAATGAAGTACCTTATCCTACTTATTATTCCAACATTTCTACTTAGCATGACTGCAACAAAATCAAGGTTACGGGTGAATTTAAGGGGTTTTCTTTAATAAGCACACTAAGTTATTTGATTTCTCTTTTATCTTCAATAGGTGAATTGTCAATTTGCACATTTAGTCGTGCAAACAGTCGGCTTCACGGCCATTTAAGCCCTTGAGACATGTTTCCCAAGCAGAAGCGAGACCGGGATCCGCGATTTGCAATGTTCGGGGTAACTGAGACAATGAGACAATGAGACCTGTGTCGGTTGGGGACTAAAATACTTAGCAGGGGTCCTGTGGCGGCAAGTGGCCCCGAGTCGGAGCAGCGTTTGAGGTGCCAGCTGATACCCATGCAGCACTGTTTAAAAATGCACTCGGTCGCACCTGTTCGCCACGGCAATAAAGGTTTTACTGGAATGCCGCAACTTTGCAAATTCAGGCTCACTCTGCGTCGTGACCCTTTCATAGCGCATTACTGAGCACGTCAGCTGGACCACGCCGGCAGCGTGGTACGAACATAAGGCAACCTTTGGCAGATGTCCATAATCACGAGCGGAGGGCGCGACCACTTGCATTTGAGAACACTGTCAAACGCATACGGTCTCAACACTTATCACTGCTGTAGGGCCATCCGCTGACAACAGAGCATTGTTTTCGTTCGAAGGCTTTCATTTTGTTGGGTTGACCCCGTGACGGCGCATTATCTAACGCTGGCGGATCACTCAGATCGCGAGGCACGCGAGGAGTCATACTGGTCAGTTAATCCCACGCAGCATCGAATGCATAATGAGACGACAAGGTGACCTTCATATGAATGCATACCTTGCGTTTGTGTATTGTATAAGATGAGTGATACAACAATGAAGACTGCTCACGGGGGCTACAGTGCATAAGCTGTTCACGCCCACGTAAGTTTGCAAACATTCAGTGAACCTACATTTGGAATCATCGGCCACGCGCGGTCCACATTAAATGCAAGCCACAAACAACGTGCACAATGAAACTGCAAAGAACCGGACAATAATGGACTGAAGCCAACACGCCAAAAAGATGGTTAGAGTCTATGAGAGTCCTAAGGTTTGATAAATCCACTTCGAAGCTCAGTTCCACTTCGTGATCAGCCTGCAATCACGCGTTTAAAGGGAGTGGGACATGCTGTCTGAAGTCAGGTGCTGCTAACTTGTTCAGCATGCTGCTAAGCCTCAGCGCAGCCTGCTGTCTGTTCGCCACCGCCGTCCGCCCGATCGGTTGGTGAAGTAATGACCGTGGTGGACCTCAGTACAAGGCCGGTTCAATATGTTTTCTTCGATTGGTTTGGATCACGTTCGGACTAGCACGTCCTCATGGTACTTGTCCGCCTTTAAATCCTAGCCCACATGATCAGGCCACAGCTGGCTTCTCGCCCGACCAGCTCTGTCAGTGCCGGGAGGTCCCGTCGCTGTTAGCTCGGGGCCAGTTGTTCAGCCTGTTCAGACGAGGTGCGGGCCTGGCGGTGTCGGCTTAGTAGCGTCCTGCGCGGTGTTCGCCGTCTTCCGAGGCAGCGGCAGCAGTTTGGCGATCTCGTCCGTTTCCCCGTCCGCATCATCTTCCTCTTCATCGTCAGCATCATTGAGGTCGTCCGGATGGAACGTGTCAATGACCTCGTCCGCCTGAGGGCAGATCAGAATAGTGAACTCGACCAAATGCCGTAGTTTCTACTGACCCGACCCTCAGCCAAATATGTCGCCACTGAAGGCGATTACCAACAGCATCATCGTGCGATTGTATAACGTAAAACAAACCGCATGCCAGTCTCCAAGATATCCAGCACGGGAGTAACTCACGAAATCGTGGATGAAATATTTCTACCTCAACCTCAGGAAGGAGAGCATGTAAACAATCCCACGCCAGTAGTTGCCGGGCCCCCATTAACAAGCTAATCGATAGCTTCATTAATTGATTACTTCGAGAACGGGCATGAGCAACTTGAAACGTGGTCACATAAGAGCAATCCGACCGCATTTACCTCTTCATCTTCCTCTTCTTCCTCATCGCTTTGCAGCATATCCATGGTGGCTCCGCCATCCGCCATTTGCTCTGTGAATCAGTTCGTCCCATTTTAATGAGCCATGCGTTTGTTCCAGAAATATGGCCGTCATCTTACGTTTATATCAGCCAGTGGATTATTCATATATATATATATATATATATATATATATATATATATATATATATATATATATATATATATAATGTAAACACAGTAATCTCTAAAACTGAGATCTGGCTTAGTCACGACTTGGCCGCCAGAGGCAAATTGGTGTGCTTCAATAGATATATGTATGCGCGTACTTGGTTAAAGAATAGCCTCACTTTCAGGTAAGTCTTTGCAAGTGACAACATGTTTGTTGTAGAATAGTTTCGTCTTAAAATTATCTATCTTATTAACATACTTTCTCTTCTGTGGTTTTCTTTTTGGCTTTTTTTCTCTTTTCTTCTCTAATTGGTCGACAGTTTTGTCCCACAAAAGACCTCTTCAAATAGTGACAAGTAAGTATAATATGCAAATAACACTTTATAATGGTTGGATCTGCATACTGCTGAGCCAAGTCACAACAAGAAGTTCATTTGGTAACAGTCGATCGCAAAAAAGTCGCAATGAACCGATCGTAGGAAAAGTCTAAATGAAAAGTGGTCGGGCCGGCCAAAGCTATAGAAACACAAAATCGTTCACTACGGTCTCCTCCAGTGTAGAGCCTATGGCTTTGGGAACAGCAAGGGCTGGCCGTGAATTCGGGCTTACATACATGCTTTGATTTGTCAACACAAGTAATATCGTCACAGAATTAAGCCTCGGTTTTAATGGCGATAAACCAAAGGTTCTGCACTGTGGTAACGTGCTCAAAAGGTTGCTTTGGTGTGTTCTGTGCCATATTTTAATACGCCAAGGTGAGAGAGATATAATTCTAAACGTGTACACGTGTCTAAGCCAGCGGCAAATCCAGCAATTCTTCGAGGTACGAATGCACATGCATGGGGGGGGGGGGGCGTTCGTTTTCTCCAGGTCATGGTGGATGCGGTCATTTCGAGGCTACGTATTGGGGAGGATTTTTGGTAACATAAGCATACGTTTACTGCCAAAGTTATCACAACCAAGCACGAGTCTTGATTCCAAGGTCATTTAGGCCTCGCCAGCCTCCAGCGGCTAGTCGGCTAACTGATGTGATCAGCTGATGGCTGATGCCTGATGCAAAGTTTTTGGTTTTTCTGTAATGAGGGATTTCAAGTTATTCTTTATTCAAAACATGCTAAGAACGTGAAGCTTAAGTTTAAGAAGTGTCACGCGTTCAATAACCGACGGAAATAACATGCGCCGTCGGTTGGGGCGTAAAATCATCTCTGGCAATGGCGGGTAAAAATGATCAGAACACACCCAACCGCTTCATAAAGGCTATGTTGTTAAGGCAAATCGTTATCGTTAAGACTTCAGACTTTTGTACCTGAATAGATACAGCCAGGCCCTGACACACGGGCAGGCAAAACACCCTGTCGCTCACAAGCACATGTGAGGGTTTCAGCAACAGATTGGGGCCGTTCTCACTTCATTGGAAGAGGCCACAATCAATTCTAAAGGTCTCAAAGCGATCAAGAGTGCGCCGGTCGATAAACATTTAGGCCCAACTCAACGGCGTAGGCCCTCCGATAAAGTGGGGGAAACCAAGACCAATAGGGACAACACCTGAGCGATCAAGGATGACGAGGCAAGTCAACAAAGAGACTTCCATCAAGAGTGTAGGGTTCTCAGAGCAAGCGAGAAGAACCCAAGACTGTATGATGGACCTTAAACGATCGGGAGTGCCCCAGCTGGTGAACGCATAGGGCCCCGGCCAGAGCGCAGGGCCCTCCAAGCACACGGCAAATGCACAAGAGCAGTTGAACATGAAATGATGCGCTTCAACGATCTGTAATGGCCTTTCGGTGCCCTGTGTGTGTTGACCTGTACGTGAACTCACTTAGGTTAAGGTTTGAGGTTCCTAGGTCATGACCTTCGGGTCAAATAAGGTCAAACAAGATCAAATTTCAGGTTGTCTCCAAAGTGGCCCCAGAACCTAGATAACTGTTAAGCGAAAGGTCACGTGCTCATTTAAAGTCAGTGACTTGTTTGATCTTTTGAAGGTCATAGTGAACAAGACCATACAAGACTGCTCTGTGTTTTGCATTTGAATAAGCGACAAAAATTATGCCAGGCAGCATGTTTCTAAAAACAAAATGTTGACCTGGGCCACTTTAGGTCAATGACCTGTTCTGACCTTTGAGAAGTCAATGGAAGATGTAAAATGTGGTTTCTGCTATCAATAAATTCGAAATGAGCACCAGAAACTATCCCATACAGCAGGCCCTTGAGTAACAAAACAGATTGGTTTTGACCTTGGTCTGACTTTTATACCTGACCTAGATCAACGTTATGTGCTCATTCAATATTTGTGTTTTCTAAGAAAGCATTTCAGAGACATATGGCTCCGCCTAACACTCCGTTGTTGCATTAGATTGAACGATTCCCTAGAAATCGACTGCTGAAGTTATGGTCTGACCTTGACTTGCTATAGGTCAGCGACCTTACAAGGTACATCCAATTTTTTGAAAACCAAACAATCCGCTATTCAATTGTCTACAGCTATGCAAGATCCAGTGCGGCTACGCCGCGCCGCTCAGAAACCATTCTGAAAAACCTTCGGGGGGGGGGGGGTCAATTTGACAGCCCCACCCGAGCGCGTGTTAACCTCCTGGGGTACTTTCGGTTACTCAGGGCCCTTCAAATTAGTGTCAGGTTCTTCCCACTTGCTCGGAGAGCCCTGTGCTGTTCCTGGGGCCTATATTACAGGGAATGTTCCGCATATAAAGGTTTTTGCGGTAAGCAATGATATGATGATGATAAATATAATGAAATAAGGAAATGGTTGACGGCCGTTATATATCCTGTGTATGGGGAGGCACCTTTGAGCAGGAGTAATGACCAGTATAATCTGTAAAGTATAGCATGCATCGTGTAGAACAAACACTGCGCAAAGATGTGAACTGTACAAGTAATATCGCCTATAATTAGATACTAAATACATTTATTCAGTAAACTTAATAACAGGCACAAGTTACAGGCACCATAGGTCGTATGGCACCAACGTCACCTTCATCACTTTGAATCAGAAGTAAAGTCGCATGTAACTAAATGCTGCATACGCCTTTGCTGTAGAAGACACACGTTTTTTTTTCTACGCCGTTACCCAACAACAGGTAACCAGGAGTGCCCCTCCCTCAATCCCAGCGACGCAGTAAACCGTACGTCAACACCAAAAATCATAAAACATAAAATCAAGTCGCGGCACTCCCAGCTAGGAAGATGAAACAAACGTTAAAAAAAAACAGGCGAGGAGGTGGAGCAGACCCGAAGGAATTGTGTCACGTGATAGGTAGGAAAAAATCATAGATGAAAAGGCTTAAAGTAGTCATTAGCCAAAGTCAGCTAATGACAGCCCGCTACAACCGCCCAATAATCTACAACCACTCAATTCCCCATGTTAGTAAGGGCTATACAGTCACAAGTCGGAGGGGGCAATTACCTGGTCATTTTTGTGCTGGGTTTTGAGCTGGATGTCCAGGGAGTCCACCCAGCTAAGCAGAGCTTGTTGCTGGGAGAACTCCCGAGGCATAAGCATTTTTGAAGCATCAGTTTTATAATGTAACACACGTGCCGTGTGTGAACTTTTGCAGTGGAACAAATGTAATGCATAAAATAGACTGTGCAAGTATTTCCCGTAGACGTTGGCGGGAAATATTTTTGTAGCATAAATTCGATTGCGTAGCTCTCACGCCGACCGATCTGTACGAAATTAACGTCTTGTCGTAATTTTGCCCATTGTTGTGAAAATGCTACAGTTATATAGTGCTGTTTAGGCTGTATAGTGCCCTCGTGCTGCGTTTTTAAGATACTTTGCATTTGATATTCTTACACGCCAACCACTTACTACGTTACTGCGTATAATACGTTTATGACAGCGGCACTTAAAGTACAGAAATTTACTGTACAGTAATTCTTGTTTACAGTGCTGTTTGAAAGTTGCTCTCGCTCATCATTGCTTAATGGTGTCCTACTTGGGATGAAATGCTGCGATTATTTGTTCGTCTCATAGGGGGTCAAAAAAGTGTGTTCGTAGGATCAACACAGTAAAGAAGTAAATGTCACACCACAGCCATGTTTTCATGTGCAACAATTTTGCATTTTTGGAATTCTAATAAATATTTATCTATATGCATCCGTGGAAGACAGAAAGCTATCATCCAGTACACCAGCCAACACATCCTGGCTGACATATAGCTGCGGATAGCAGCGCCGATGGTGCCGTCTCCCCGGATGTCGAAGGTGGTGGCATCCTCTCCCGGACGTCAGAGATGGTGCCGTCTCCCCGGACGTCGGAGGTGATAGCATCCTCCCCCAGACGTCGGAGATGGTGCCTTCTCCCCGGACGTCTGAGGTGGTGGTACCATCTCCCGGACGTCGGAGGTGGTGCCGTCCCTCGGATGTCGGAGCTGATGGCATCCTCTCCCGAAAGTCAGAGATTGTGCTGTCTCCCCGGACGTCGGAGGTGGTGGCATCCTCCCCCGGACGTCGGAGATGGCGCCTTTTCCCCGGACGTCGGAGGTGGCGGTACCATCTCCCGGACGTCGGAGATGTTATCCGGAGGTGGTGGCACCATCTCCCGGACGTCGGAGACAATACCGTCTCCCTGGACGTCGAGGGGCGGCGGCCGACGCGCCGTGACCTACTCTCGACGTCGCGGCGGGCGTTTCTGCGGCTCTGCCAGCGTTCCTGGTCCGACTCCCAGCCGTCGGCCTGGCTGCGGTCCTGCTGGTACGCGTACTCCAGCTGGCCGTCCGCCTCCTCGCGCTCGTCTTCAGCCCGGCTGGGCAGACCCAGCTCGCGCATCAGCAGCCGCTCCTCCCGCCGACGGATCAGCTCCTCGTCAGAGCTCGAGTCTCTGGACACGGTTAGTCGCACGTCAACACAGCGGACACTGGCGCCGGGCCAGCTCCTCGTCAGAGCTCGAGTCTCTGGACACGGTTAGACGCACGTCAACACAGCGGACCCTGGCTCCGGGCCAGCTCCGCATCAGATTTAGAGTCCCTGGACACGGTTAGACACACGTCAACACGGCTGACACTGGCGCCGGGCCAGCTTTTCATGAGAGATCGGTATTTTTATTGTTTTTGTTTCATTTGGATTGAAGCCTTGTGTCGATGACTCAGAAAAATCGAACTAGGTGGAGAGATGGGAGATAGGGCAATACTGCGGTCATTATGAGATGACTCCGTCAAAGATCCTTGTCCCGCACAGAAATCGTTCTTCGGGATTTGCACTAGCGCTCAGGCAAGGCTCATGCTGACTTATGACAATGGTTCAGGCATGTCACCTATCCCTGACACTCAGAACGCAAAAAAGTCCCACAATTAAGGTACGGGACCCTAAGACAGGAACAGTCCCTTACACCCGTGCGCCATAGCCAGGGTCCTGGGCGAAATCCTGGCCTTGCCACTGGCTCAGCTAACAGCTGCAACACGCCCCGTTGAGACGGGCGTAGCGAAGATTTCGGACCAAGCGTTGAAAGAGGAAAACGGCATATGAGAGCGAGCTCGACTCCGTAGAATGAGCTGCCATTGAATTTGTGTCGCTGTGGTCAGGCTGCCGGATTGTAATGATCTCAACTTATCGAGCTATTGAAATTAGTGGGGCTATTTTAGATGATCTCATTTTGTCACCCTGTATTCAAACTTAGCATCGAAAGTCAGATGGGTATGGGTTCCACATCATGGCACGTATTCCTACAGTTTTGTCAAGAACTTACACCCGCGCTCGTGCGCACACGTACATGCGCACGCACGCATGCACGAACACAAGCACGCACAGGCTCAAACAGACGTACACACACACACACACACACACACACACACACACACACACACACACACACACACACACACACACACACACACACACACACACACACACACACACACACACACACACACACACGCACACGCACACGCACACACACACACACGGCCTTCCGGCGAACCTATTTCGAGGTCCGAGTGAGTGTGGTGGCCGGCCTATCTCGCACGCGTCTACCTGGCGGGTAGGCCATCCGTCCGTTCCAACGCCGTCCAATGACGACAGCTCGTCTGAGAGAGGCCAACCAACAATCACATATCCATCTTTGTAAAGATACCCTCAGGTGACATTGCATTGAGCCTTGCCGCGCTTACGTTTCTTCACTGATGTCGGAGATGTCGCCGTAGTCGACAGGCTTTAGACAAATGGTGCAGCGGTTGTTCATGTCAGCAAAACACTCGTTGCAGTAGACGCCCTCGCAGCCGTAATTCGCACAGCGTCGGAACGAGGCCGAGTCACTCTCGGGGTCAAAGCTCTCCGAGCAAACTCCGCAGTACACCCTCACCATGCCCATGTAGGTCATCACCACGCGCAAGCATGGTATCCTGCAGACAGCGGAACGTTTCTGGCGTTACCTAACACTGGCCGGACCGATGCTCTTAATGGACCTGGTAATGACCCCCACGATTTTGAAGAGTCATACGTTAGATGAAAGAGTTTTGAAATTGGGCGAAGCCATGATTTATGTAGGCAAGAGACCTGAAACGACTCGGCGTTGATGGTACCACGTGAACAACAGGTCTGCTGCGTTCAAGTAAACCATGTTCTGGCTTATTTTGATCTGATCCACCCACGTACTCGACACTAATCCCCGTAGCAGCATAGAGGGAAGCTGAACACCGTTCCAAATAGAGCTCAGTGACCCTCAAGCCAATGGAGGAAGGCTAGCCGAAGTATCTCCATCCCAAAGCTCAGTCACGACGGCCTGCGAACTCACGATATGGCGAGCCGCTCCAGGATCTTTCCCAGCACATTCATGTTGGGGTCCACCAGCTGCTTCCTGCGGAGCGTGCGCTGCACGAACGAGATGAAGCCGCCGCGTCGCTTCAGGATGGCGTTGTAGAGCCAGAGGGCCCGCTTCCTGGCCCGCTCCGGGTAGTACCAGCCGCAAGCGATGTGTCGCAGGCGCAGCGCCAGCGGCTGCATCAGCCCGAACACCAGCACCATCAGGTAGAACACCACTGGAACGGGCACGTCCCGTCGGTCGGGAACCACATCCCTCTGTAAGGCACGCCATCACAGAGGTCGCAGACCCACGCGAGTCCGAGGCTACACCTCTCGCTGGCTATTCTGCCAGCACCATCAGGTAGAACAGCACTGGAACGGACACGTCGCATCGGTCGGGGACCGTGTCCCTCTGTAAGACACGCCATCACAGAGCTGACAAGCAGCCGCGAGTCCGAGGCTACACCTCTCGTCTATGCGTGACAGGGAGCTTGTCTGGTTGCTTGATGCCGATTCGGCAGAGCTCAGTTTTGTGTAGTCTAGTACTGTAACAGTCCATCTGAGTAGCGTAAGGCTCAACAGCTTGAACGCAAGCATGTATGTGCAGAGACATGGGAGGGTTCCCTAGGTGGTGAGCCCGACTGCTTTTTTGCTACTATTTTTCCACGCATCACCACAGCGTTAAAGTTGAACGCTTACAGGGAGCGGAGCTTCGCTCTTGACGCCACACTCACTCCCATGCGCGTGGGTACCGGCTAATCTATGCTTCACTGTCCAGAACCATCGTTGCAGGCGTACTTGAAGCATGCATGACCATGACAGCCGATCGTATTTTGAGGCACAAACACCAGCCGGTGAGAATGGCTTGCGGCGAGCCGGCAGCATGGCGCAGGGATGGAGCCAGCAGGCCGTAACAGCTGCCGTCCAAACTATTAAGGCTACGGGAGCTGATACCATATCCCACGAGCTGGCTCGCCCATGCTGATCCAGCCCGTTGTTGTTGTGGGTCAGCTACCACCCATGAGAACCCTGCCTAGTTCTCGAACAGTGCTGGGTCCAATGCGGTCTTTTACACAGTGGAAGTGCACTTACAGTTAGACGGGTTAACTTTGGCAAGCCATTGGGCGCTGTCACATTAACATAAACTCAAAAAAGGAAGACGAAAGGCGGATTCATGTAAAACGTTGTTTACCCCATGCTCGGGGAAATGCTTCCATTAATGGATGTCCACTGGGCTTCTCATGTTCGTTGGAATGTTGTTCGGGCAATGCAGTTTCCTAACAGCAATGTGCCCTTGATGCAACCATATGTGCACCCAGAGTGTCTTGACATCGGGGAGGATGTACTTCCAATGTCATGGCTGGTCCGTGCATCCCAGGCATTCTTCAATGATTTTGACATCATTCATAACCGACTACCACCGTCTATAATTCTTCCCGAAACACCCCTATCAAACTGAAGGCGGTTATTTACCGCAATAGTGGCATCTAACATGACAACTGCGCCGCTCGGTTTCCCACATATTTCTCCACTCAATTACACAGGGCATTCCGCAGGTCCTTTCCTTGAATAAATTGAGCGGCTTCACAGATGTTAGCACTTTTCCGTGCCTAATTTTACCCACTTTTCATTCCTTCCAGCCCACTTTTCTCCGCCACAGTCACGAGATGCAAAGTGGTGCAGTAAGCTTCAGGCGAGTTCTAATCAAATTCTGGCGTTTTCCTCGCAAGTTGACTGCAACAACTCTGACTCTTGCAAGGAAGCTATGTGTATACATTGGCTTACATTTCTTTGCCAGAGTTTTCACCTAAAAATAGTTCAGTACTACTCCGAAATGTTTATCGGGTTCTCAGCACTGTTGTACGACATTCAACATGCGCCAGAAATGTGAATGGTGTAGAAGATTCGTTAGCTTTCAAGGTTTGAGCTACTTGTCTGGCCCCAGGGTGGAGGACTTGCCCCGGTCTACACTACAGTGGATTCCCTGAGCTGGCGGACCGGTCCGTCCGGGTGGGACCACCGTCGGTCCGTTCGGACGGGACCATCACCGGCCCAGCTGGGTGGAACCTCCCTCTGTCAGTCCGGGTGGGACCACCGTCTGTCCGTTCGGGTGGGATCACCGCCGGTCCAGCTGGGCGGGACCACCGTCGGTCCGTCCAGGTGGGTCCGCCTTCGGTCCTTTCGGGTGAGACCACCGCCGGTCCGTTCGGGTGGGATCACCGCCGGTCCAGCTGAGTGGGACCGCCGTCGGTCCGTCCAGGTGGGACCACCGCCGGTCCGTTCGGGTGGGACCACCCCCTGTCGGGCTGGGTGGGTCCACCATCACTCCGTTCGGGTAGGACCACCGTCGGTCCGGCTGAGTGGGACCACCGCCGGTCCAGATGAGTGGGACCGCCGTCGGTCCGTCACGGTGGGACCACCGCCGGTCTGTCACGGTGGGACTACCGCCGGTCCGTCACGGTGGGACCACCGCCGGTCCGTCACGGTGGGACTACCGCCGGTCCGTCACGGTGGGACCACCGCCGGTCCAGCTGAGTGGGACCGCCGTCGGTCCGTCCCGGTGGGACCACCGCCGGTCCGTCACGGTGGGACCACCGCCGGTCCAGCTGAGTGGGACCGCCGTCGGTCCGTCCCGGTGGGACTACCGCCGGTCCGTCACGGTGGGACCACCGCCGGTCCGTTCGGATGGGACCACCATCGGTCCGTTCGGGTGAGCCCACCGCCGGTCCGTCAGGGTAGGACCACCGTCGGTCCGGCTGAGTGGGACCACCGCCCGGCCGCTACCCATCCTGCACTGACCGATCTGTCTGTAGCGGTCGTGGTTGGGTGGCCAGCCGTACGGGACACACTCGGATGTGTCGATCTCGGGCAGGTTGGCCGAGAAGGACGACGGCATTTTCTCGAAGGTGGAACGTATGGCGTCAGCCATGAAGCCTTTCCCCTCCACCACCG